CACGGGCAAAACCACAAGCCCAATGGCGGTGGCGTGAACCCAGAGCCAGGCTCCTCACGCCTGGCCTCTCGAGGGCTGGTGGCTCCAAATGCTCCACAGCCGCTTTGCCCAGAGGGCATGAGCGGGCCACGGTCAGACTCCGGGCACCTGGATAGCTCCAGCACAGCAAAGGTGAAGCTGCCCTGCCAGACCCTTCTCCCACAGCCAGAGCAGGGGCCATCGGCGGCTGAGCTGAAGCTGGAGGCACTGACCCAGCGCCTGGAGCAGGAGATGGATGCTCGGCCAAAGGCCGATTACTTTGGTAAGGAGGCAGTCCACCTGTTGCCGGGAGGAGGGCTCATTGCAAAGTGTCACTGCAGGGTTTGGACCTGCAGGGTTGCATTTGCCTGGAGCTCTCCTTGGTTGTGCTCTTTCAGTTGCCCAGAGGGAGGGTGTGTTATTTAACTTTTATTATGACAGGAACTGGAAACTCTTCCTCCTGCAACACCTTTTCCTTTAGTCCTACCTCTTTAATTTTAAAGCAAAGGTAGTTTAGCAGCTTTGGGGAAGGACAGCACTGAAAAGAAGCTGGAGCAGCTATATTTTGAAGTGCCCTTCATTGCCGGCAGGGAGGCACTTAACTTTTCTTGACAGTACTCCTGGTTCTCCATGTATTAAAAGGATGTGGCCAGACCACGTGGGGGCAGGAAGGCAGCCGTCCAGCCTGCAGAAGAGTTGTGCCTGCGTAGGCTGCAGCTGTGGAGAAGGGCACAGAGCTCAGGGGAGGCTTGGTGGCACCCACCCGTCACTGAGGTGGCCACAGCCAGGTATGCTTGCAGGATCTCTTCAAGATGTGTTGCTTTGGGATGGGAAGAGTGGTGGTTTCCCAAAGTTGCCAGGATTGGCATCTTGTTCCCATCAGCACTGAAAGGATTGATGCATCCTGAAAATGGCAGAAAAACAGGCGGTGGCACGTTCTTCCCTAAATCTTGGGTTTGCGAGGAGTCCAGACCACCACCAGAGGTTATCGCTGGTACTTGGCAGTGAAAAGGGACCACTTACCTGCGAGGGTCTCCCAGTGAGAATATTAAATGTCCTGCCAGGATGGCAGAAGATGAGGGGCAAATTCAGCGTTTCCTTTCCTTGCTGTTTCACTTTACAATTTAACAGCAGATAAAATAGTTCAGCTTTTGGGAGAGGGAAACCCAGAGTTGCTGGGAAGGCTGAAAACTCCACAGTTAGCTCAACAAACAACAGGAACAGGTCTAGTGTATGGACTTTCCTCATGGTTTTAGACCTGCAGTCACAGAAGTAGAAGCAGGGACAGATTAAACTCTCCAGCTTGGTGCCAAGGAAGGGTCTGCATCTCAGGCTGCACAGGTGCTGTTACACAGGATTACATCCAGTGGGGTTAGTGGGTGGCTCAGCAGTAGTCTGAGCCACACAAGGGCTTCACACCAAACTTTGGGGATGGAGCTGGAGGGCCCACTGAGTGCCCATCTGCAAATTGCGTAACAAAATATGTCTTGGCATCAGGCTGCAGTACTTGCCCGCAGAGGGCTGTGCTGGGGCTGTTTGTTTAGTATCTGAGACTGGATTCAGCCCTGTGGCAGGGCAAGCACAGTTTTTTCCTGTCGCAGAAAAGTGATGTGTTGAGTTGCTGTACTTAGGGTGTTTTGGCCTGGAAACATGTTTCAGCACTTTCCGTCCTGTGTGGGCAGCATGCAGTTTGAATGGGCTCAAGGAGCCTTGGTGGGGGGCAACTGAATGCTGGGACAAAAGCTGGTAATGGAGATGGGGTTGGGACAGCAGTCTCGTGGGAAGTAGTGCTCAAAAGTGGGAGTGTTTTTCTGGAGGTGGCATTCAGGTCCACTGGAGATGTGTCAGGGGTCTCTCCAACAGAGCCTGCTGCGTGTGTCTTCTCCTCACGGTGCAAGTAAACCGTCTGGATTGTACCTCATCCAAAATGTGCATGGGGATTGGGTGAGGAAGCAGGGGAACCCAGTCAGTGGTTAGATTATTTTTACATTTTTGTCACAAAATAAGGGTTAGAGGCAAAAGGAGGCTTTTGTCCTATGGGAAATTTATAGTGAAGCAGAAGTAATTCAGCAGCGCAGAGTCCAACTGGTCAGGCAGCTGAGGTACCGGTGAGCCCCGGGGAGGGAGGAGGGATGGAGGCTGCCTGATCCCCAGTGAGGTATTTTGACATCCTGCTGGCAGGAGGTTTTGCACCAGAATGTAGTGTCTGAGGAATTTGGGATGGAAGAGAGGGAGAGGAAAAAAAGAAACAATGGAGTCATGGCAGAGGAAGATATAAAGTTTTGTGGAGCCACAGCTCTGTGGGGAAAGGCTCAGCAGATCTGCCCTGCGGAGGACCAAGGAACAGGAAGGGGCAAGTACTGAGGTGTTTTAATTCTGGGCCTCCTCCTCCCACTCTATTTCTCACTTTTATTTTCATTTTTTGCAGTTACCTTACTTCCTTTGTAGGAATAAAGGGCCTAGCTGGTCTTCTGACTCTATTTTTGCTATGTCCTACCCTCAAGCAAGCAACTTTAGGATGGAAAATAAATACTTTTATGTAATAGTGATAAAAAGGATCAATAGTTTGTTTTGTTGCAGACTTTTTCCCCAGTGAAGGGAAGTCTATTGCAGCAGCTTTGCAGTACACTGGAGCCAGGAAATTAAACTAGGACTGAAGTGCAAACGACTGAAGTATTTTATCAAAAACGTTTTCAGTTCTCCTAATTTTGTGTGCTGCTTTTATGACAAGGAGATTTTTTTGAAGATGAGATTGTCTCATGTTAACATACTGTCATGTTAACATACAGTCCTTCAATCTGTCTCAGTCAGGACCAGATATTTACAATGAACAATTAATTCTCTTCACAGTAAAGGAGCTGCTTTTTCCTTCACTATGTTAAAATGTGTGTTTGTAAATGAAAGCCTAGGAAAGGATAAGCTAGGGACTACGCATAATACAGGTAGGATGCTCCACTGAGGAGTAACAGCCTGGTTATCTGTCAGCACCAGCTTGCTGTGCAAAATGCTTTTTGTCTGCTCAGGGTATGTGTAATAAGTGAAAGGAAAGAAGCAAACAAAGCCAAGAGTTCTCTTTCTTTATCTCCTTTTTTTTTAAAATAGTGACCTATGTGTGAGCTGCAAAGGCTTCACGTGTCTGTGGAGGAATTTGGGTTCTCCATGAGGGCTTTTGAAGTGCTGACTTGATTTATGTGGGCTGTCAAGGAGGACATAGGGAGTCTCAGGTATCATCCAGATCTTAAGCCTGGGGAGGGAAAATCTGAAGTTGCTCCCTGGAGAGGCTGGTTCCTGTGCAGGGAAGGGGCCCCGTGTCCCCAGGAGGTGTTGTTGGAAGCCAGCTTAGGATTTATTGAAGGTTTTTTTGGTGTACTGTTTTCAGGGAACATGCAGGAATCCCACTTATTTTCCATGGTGTTACTGTGGGTGAACCAGCCTTCATCTTCCCTTGGTGAAACAGAAGATTAATTAAACAGGAGTGAATGGCAGAGTTGCAACAGCTGCAGTAGCACAACCCAGATGTTTAGTTAAGTGAAGCATCACCATCCCAAGGACTGGTGCTGCATAAGTTTTCCGGTGAGATCCAGACAGGTGCATAACCAAACCAAGCATCCACCTGCACTGCCTGGAAGTGACTTGGTAGAGGAGAGGCCTGGCTGAGGTGTGCTCAGGGGTCTGCAGGGAGGTTTGACTGTTTTAGCAGAGCCCATGGTACCACACAGTTCCTTGGTCTGCAGGCACAGATAGGTGCTTTTAGAGGTGTAACATGTTGCATGACATTTTGACCAGTGCTTATTTTGTATAGCTAGATGGAAATCTCCACCTGATGGGAGATTATCTACACCCTTACCAAGAGTTCTTTTTAAAACCATTTTTTCTTCTTGTTTTTGTTAGGTGTTGAATTCTGGCTTTCTTGGTACTTACAGCAGAACTGATAAGCTGTGGGTGTTTGGAAGGGCCCTGGGCATCTCGTTTTGCAGTGAAAAACTGGGATGCTTCCCAGCAGTCGGGCAGAGAAGATCTCATAGCAAAGCCTGCAGATTTTTTTCCCCTTGGCAGAAGTAGAGCAGTAGCTGAATCACTCAACCCTGTGGAGACCCAGCACCTTTGAATGGGTGTGGGCAGCTCAAAGGCCAGCAGTGCTCTTTCAGTGTTGTGCACAGTGACGTTAGTGTTTCACCACTGCCGAAACCGCAGCTCGTTTAACTTTAGGGCTGAACACACCCATGGACTTTATGGAACCCTGCTGATGGTGCTGCCCCAGGATGCTTCGGCAGCAACGAGGGCATTTCAGGGCTGGCAAGTGGAGAATTTTCTGATTAAAATGAAAGTTCCTCTGAGTTTGTTTTGTATGTGATGGGTGATGGTAACGGCGTCATTTCCACTGGGAATGAGCAGAGGCATCCTTCTCTACCTGCTCCTGGGAGAGTACCAAAGCTGAAAGGAGATGCCTGCCTGCAGCGGAGAGGAGGGGGGAGGCAGGGTGAGACAGGTCCTGGTGGAACAAGGAAAGCTGGAAGGATCACGGCACTTGGGCTAGTGGGTGTGTGCAGATTGCAAAGCTTATCTCACTGCAAGGAACCAAGCAAATAAGTATTGGCCTGGAATATGGTTCTTCAAGATTACAGCAGTATGCACTTCTCCTCCCTTCCTCTGGGGAGCTCAGCTGGGTTTGCAAGCTAAGGAATAATATATCAGAAGGAAAGAAAAAGGAAGAAGTTGAGGCAGAGGAGCAGTCAGTCTTTCAGCCAGGATTCTGTGGCAGTGAGAATTGAAAGGAATAAGGAGCCTCATTCATGTAGCACTGGAGTTATCGTAATCTCTGACGTCACTATAAAGTACTTAAAATGTCACTGACATGAGTTTGATGGCATTTTTGTCCTTCACTGGCAGTGTGTACATGAAGGTCTACAGCAAGGTCTCGGGTCAAGAACATGGCATTGAAAAAGGTACAGAAAAATTGCGTTTACCAGCTCTGTGGTTCTTTGAGCAGAGTGTCTGTACATCTTTACTACCACTGTTCACAGTAGTGAACAGAACCAAACTGCCAGGTTTTCCACACACTCCATCTCACCCAGGCCTCCAGATCCCCTTGAAATCACCTCTTCAGCAAGAGCAATGGCACAGTAGCGGATAACAGCATAGCAAGGCATGCAATGTGTGTAACTCAGAATTTGTTGCAGAAATTACTTGGTTATGGTGAGCCACGGGGAGGTGAGTTCAGATTCTGGATAAATTCTGAAATAAAAGCAGAACTGAGCATCACATTGTGTATGACAGGGTGAA